ATATCCTTTTCAGTTAGGATATGACTAATTACTTATGAAGCTCCTACAACCATTAATGATGAGAACTCCAAAGTAGAGGTAATTCTTCGTAGGGTATGTGAGTGATCAAATAGGTTGTGTTTGAATTTTATGAAGTTAATCAAGGCGGATAACATTAAAGCTAATAATACAAAAGGATTCCTAAATAAAAATCAAGGAGTTATCTCCATATAAAATTGCGAGAGAAGTCTATTGTGGAAATTTTTATGAGCGAGCTCACCATTATGAAAGTTCGACTGATTCCGCTCCATCTATAATCTCGTGACCAAACATGTTCAACATATTAGCTAAACTTACAAACATGAGAATGAATGTGATAGACTCATTTATGGTTCTAATCATCATGAACTCCCTACCTGTCGAGTTTGGCCAATCCTAGGTGAACTATAACACCATTAAAGATAAATGAGATTGTAAGGAAATTAAGGTTATGCTGGTGCATGAAGGAAGAGGTGAGAATAAATGAGATGAAAAAAGAGTTGATTCATTATATCTCATGTGGGAGCCAATAATAGTAAGATAAAATAGGAAACAAAGGCAAATAAAAGAAGATTGGCTTACATAAAGTTTTTGCAGGTCCAATCATTAAAGAAACGAGGTGTTATTTTTGTAAAAAGTTCGGCCACCTAATGAAAGATTGCTCGAAATAAAATCTTGATTTGAAAAGAAAACATACATTAATTTTTGTATTTTGTGAATCAGATTTATTAAAGATTCCTAATAAGACTTGGTGGCTTGATTCTGTGCAACTACTTATGTATGGAGTTAAACGTAGTGCACATAATAAAAAATCTGCTCTCTTATGGCATCAAATATTTGGTCACATATCCGAAGAAAAGTTTTGAGAATGGTGAACAACCAAATATTTCTCATTTGGATTTTAGTGATCAAGTTGCATGTGTAGAATGAATTAAAGTAAAACAAACTAGATATACATTAAAGAGATCTGCCGATAGAAGCACTAAAATCTTATAACTTATGTACACTAATTTTGTGGTCTATTCGACATCCCTTCATGAGGTGATGTAAAGTATTCAATCACCATTATAAATGATTTCTCACGTTATGGTTATATTTATCTACACATGAAATGACTCAATCATTGGACTATCCAAAGATATACAATGATGAGATGGAAAGGTAGTCAGATAGATAAGTAAAAGATGTGAGATCTCCTTGGATTGGTGAATATTATTGTAAGTTCAATGAAAGAGGATAATGTCCTAGTCCATTTGCAAAGTTTTTCTTGAGATTTGAAATATTTGTGTGAAATACACTATAATTGAGACTCCTCAACGTAATGGTATTGTTGAGAGGATAAATTGTACTTAACAAGATATGGTTAGGAGTATGTTGAGTAATTCAACATTAACGTTTTCTATGTGGATGCATGCATTAAAGACTGCTGCATATTCGGTAAACACGATTCCTAGTAAAGTAGTTCCTAAAATACCTTAGGAAGTATTGAAGGTAGGAAACTAAGTTTAAGGCATCATCATGTATGGAGGTGTCGAGCAGAAGTAAAAGTATATAATCCACATGAAAAGAAACTTAATCCTAGGATAACCAATGGTTATTCATTGGCTATTCAGAAAGTTCTAAAGGATATAAGTTTTATGACCCTAACCATAGTACGAGAATAGTTGATTGCGGAAAAGCTCGATTCATTAAAATGATCAAATCAGTGGGAGTTTGAAACCGCAAAGTTTGGATGTCAAAGAAACTCAGGTTGAACAGTCCAAACTAGAGAGTCCATTAATGGTTGTTATTATTCTAGTTACATTAGTGTCATTTAACTAGATGAATAACAAAATAATCCAAACTCACTTGATAATGAATCGGTTACGAACAATCAAGAAATTATAGAACAACCTTGGGTTGATGAATGACAAGCCATCAAAAGTTAAAATTCTGAAAAAGTTTATCAATGCCATGAAAGAATAATTACAGTCAATGGATGACAATAAAGTTTAGAATTTAGTAGAATTACCTGAAGGTTCTAAAAGAGTTGTGTGTAAATGGGTTTTTCAAAATCAAACACGACTCTAAAGGTAATATCGAAAGATATAAAGTTAAACTTGTTTATATAACTTACACCCAAAAGGAAGGCATTGACTACAAAAAAACATTCTCCCCCGTTTCAAGAAAGATTCCTTGAGAATTGTAATGGTAATGGTTGCTCTGTATAATTTTGAGTTTTATCGAATGGACATAAAGATCACCTTCTAAATCATAAACTTAAAAGGAGATCTACATGAACTAATTAAAAGTTTTGAGACCACAAGAAATGAAAAGTTCGTGTGAAGTTGAATAGATCGACATATTGACTAAAACAAGTCTTTCGTCAATGGTATCTTAAATTTAATGATATCATCACTGCTTATGGTTTTGTAGAGAATATCGTAGATCGATGTATCTACATTAAGGTCAATGGGAGTAGATTTGTTATTTTAGTTTCGTATGTCGATGACATATTTATAGTTGCTAATAATGTGGACATGCTGCACGAAGTAAAGTATTATCTCTCTGCGAATTATGAAATAAAGGATATGAATGAAAACGTCATTGGTAAATGGAATAATGATATTCTGGAATAGATCACAAGGACTAAAATATCATCCCATAAAAGTTATAATTTGAGAATTTTGGAGATAATTAGAATGGATGGTTTTTTCGTATAATTCCAATTCATAAAGTGACAAATTTATTCTAAATAAATGTCCGAAAGGTGAAATGGAATGAAAAGTGATGGAGAAAATTCTTTAGATATTAATGATTAGGATTTTTCAACTGAGACGAACTTGTACTAGGTTTGATAACATGTTTGTTATGGGTACATTGAACAAATATATAAAAGTAATCTCTAAATGATTATTTAAATGCTGCAAAAAATTCCTAAAGTATGTACAAGGCATTAAGAACACATGCTAACTTAAAGAAGATCCAAATTATTGGTTATAACTGGATACTCGGATTCAGACTTTTGCTCATAATGTCTAAAGGAGCAAAATTATAGAAAATGGAACAAAGTCCATCATCGTGACTTCCACGATTAAGTTGAGTTTGTGGTATGCTTTGAGGCCACAAGTCAAAATTTAGGGCTACGATGCTTTATCTTAGGACTTGAAAATGTCGACATCTTGTCCAAGCCGCTAAGAATTATTGTAATTTTGTAGCAATAATATTTCAAGGAATGACAAGTATTCAAAGGGTGTGAATCACATAAAATTGAAATACTTGGTCGTAAAATATAAGTGATGAATTAAAGTGTCATTTGAGCATTTTAGTAATAATTGCATGAAAGTGAATCCATTAAAGGGTTAATCCCTATAGCCTTTGGAAGGCATATAAAGAAAATCGGGATTAACGAATGGGGCCTTGTTGGACTAATCGGTGCTGAATGGAATTGCTCAATTAATGGTTTTGATACTTATTGAATTCGATCAAAGATGTTTTATTCTTCACATATAATACCATCATTATGGATATTTGATTTTATAGTATATACATAAAAGTTGGATGGCTTATGGTTATGGTATAAATAGTTTGTTCCATATTAAAGTAAAGTTGAATTAGAAATGATTTGTGGTACATGGAAGGGATCATGTCGCTCGAAGACTTGTGACCGCCATGACTCGGTTAATTTCTATTTTAATATTAAACTTATAGATCTATGTATTCAATCATAAGTTTGATGAAAGGTGTACGCTTAAAGTAATTCTTTGGGTTTCGACACTATATGGTCCAAGTGGGAGAATGTAATAATATTTTATATTATTCTATTATTGTGGACCATATAATTAGTTGTACCTAGTTGAATTAATAGTCAAACTTTATTAAAGGTGAATATGTATTTAATAGATTATTTAATGTTCTAATATTAAAGTGTCCAATTTGTGATGTTTGACTTGGACAGTAAGTTAGGTTAGAACATGGGGAATGTTGGTAGGATTAGGATTATATGTCTCCTTATGTATATATATTACTACATGTCTCTCTCTCCCATCTCATACGAAATAAAGTTCTCAACATCAAGGGCTTCGTGAAAAGACGAGAGACGTGGGAGAGAGAACAGAAACACAAGAGAACAGAAACACACGATTGGCAATTGACAGACTGCAAGATCAGACATACAAGAAAACATGGAAGGACTAATGGATTCTTGTAAATTTCTATGTGGGATTTAATTATGCAAAGATCCATGTTTTATGAATTGATAGAATTACATACTTAGAGTTTATTCAATTCCGCCTAATTGTTATGAATATACCCGTTAAATTTCTTACACCTTAATATATCCTTGTAACTAGGGTTGCAAACGAATCGAGCGGCTCGAGTCAAAGTTCGACTCGAGCTCGAGTTTGACCGAACTCGAGTGGCTCGAGTCGAGTTCGAGCCCATATTTTGCCTTGTCGAGCGGCTCGAAATACACGTTAAATTAATAAAATACCCCTTATTATGTATATTAGCATAGATGTTTAATAGTAATTTTACATTTCCATTTAAAAATTTTCGAGTCGAACTCAAGCCGAGTACGAGCATTTTAATTTCGAGTCGAGCTCGAGCTATTGTAATTTTTTATCGAGTCGAGCTCGAGTCTCAAAAATCGAATTCGAGCAGCTAAAAATAAACTCAATCCTGATCGATAAGGCCAATGCTCGACTCGTTTGC